CTGGGAAAGCAGATAAAAATAAAACCTGGCACTGGCTAAGAGCAGGAAAATTGAAGAAAGAGACCGAGGGACTAATTCTGGCTGCACAAGACCAAGCCTTAAGGACAAATGCATACAAAGTCAAAATTGAGAAGACAGCAACAGACAGTAAGTGCCGCCTATGCAAAGAAGCTGAAGAAACAGTGGACCACTTGGTAAGCTGTTGCAAGAAGATTGCACAGACTGATTACAAGCAGCGGCATGACAAAGTAGCAACAATGGTGCATTGGAAGATCTGCAAAAAATATCATTTGCCTGTAAGCAAAAACTGGTGGGATCATAAAATAGAGAAAGTCATAGAAAATGATAAAATTAAACTGCTCTGGGACTTCAGAATTCAAACAGACAAGCACCTGCAACATAACACCCCAGACTTAACAATTGTCGATAAGAAAGACAAAAAAGTCTGGATAGTGGACGTGGCAGTGCCTGGAGACAGCAGAATAGAAGAGAAAGAACTGGAGAAGATAACAAAATACAAAGACCTACAAATAGAAATAGAAAGACTGTGGCAAAAGCAAGCAAGGGTAGTACCAATAGTAATAGGCTCCTTGGGTGCAATCCCAAAACAACTGGAGCACCACTTGAACACCATTGGCATTGACAAATTCGCTATTAGTCAATTGCAAAAGGCGGCCTTATTAGGAACTGCTTCCATCCTGCGACGATATCTGTAATACCATCAAACATCCACATCTGCCTATCCCAGGCCCTGGGTAAGGACTCGATAGGTAGACAAAATGCCAAATCCAGTCTGAACATCTGGCTGACTGTGCGATGATCAATAATAATAATAATAATAATAATAATAATAATAATAATAATAATAATAATAATAATAATAATAAATCAATTGTTTACAGTACTAAAAAAACCAAGGACATTGAACAATTGAAACGGGAGAGGGCAGCTCCCTTGGGTGGTGCGCGACTTACATCACGCCGTGTGACTCCGCACTTAACGACGGGCCGGACTTCGCAAACCCTCGTGTAGGCCTGTACCACCTAGGTGGGCCGTAGCCTCATCTCTTGCAGACCGGGACAACTTCAGAGATCTGCTGGAAAATTCCTGTTTTTTATTCAAAATAGCAGATAACACCGTTCCACAGGCTTCCACTTCCAGTGGAAATAAGAAACGCAAGTCACCCAACCAAGAAGCGGCTGCAAAGGTCAAGGCCAAGACTAAACGGGCCTCTGAGGCGGCAGAAAAGCAGGCAGGTAGCAGACATAGGGCTTTGGAAAGACAATTTTCCAAGGCCCAACAACGTGCAGCGGAGGTCCAACCTGCCTCTACTCCCCCCCTCTTACATCTACAACAGAGGGCCCACGCCCCTCACCCTTTGCACGGGCTTGGTCCCTTGAACAAGCTCTAGAAGAGGGTCCCTTACTTGGATTCAACCGGGATCACCTTTTTCTTTTTGAACAGGATCTCAGTATGCAGGTTCAAGATCCGGTTCTGGCCACCGATATCATCTCTCCCTCACTGGCTTGTGGAACACCGGGGAGTTTCTCTCTGACGGGTCTGCCTCAGATTCCATTGGCATCTTTCACTCCTACAGCGGCGGGCCTCTGGTCCCTGGAGCAACTTTCATTTACCGTCCAGCTCCAGGCCATGATTTCGCAGGCGGTGGCTCAAGCCATGGCAGCTTCTGCGAGGGCCTCACCGATCCCGGGGCTGTCAAACCCCCCCTCCGTCTACGGGGACTGCACGGCCCAGGGATTACGAGTTCCCGGATCCGGCCTCACCACCGCATTCTGGGGGCAGCGAGGTATCCGAATATCCTGAGCAGGTCCTCGAAGAGGGACTAGGGTCACGTGACGAGGACACCCCCACGGAGGCCACTCCCTTGGTAGGCGTGTTCAGTCCTTTTCCTTCACTCTTACGCAAGGCCTGCGCCACCGGAAAGATCGAGCCGATAAAACCCCAAGCGTCCAATCAGGATTCTGGCCAGAGTTCTGATCTGCTGTTTTCGGAACCAGTCACAAAGAGCCAGCAGATACCTTGCCCTCCCCTATTTTTGAAATCCATTCAGAATCAATGGGGTTCTCCTGGCACCTTCTCAGCCCTTGGGGGAATAGACCACAAACTTTTAGATACGGTCTCTACCCTCAATGACGTGCTGGAGGTTCCGGGAGTAGACGAGTCTCTTTCTCCCATTTTGTCAGACTCCAAGATTCCAGGGGATATGTCCGAGGCTCTGAAGGCCGAGGACAAAAAATCCGAGGTTTCTTTCCGTAGAACGCACCAGGCCTTGGCGTGGGCGATAAGAGCTTCCACATCAAACTCCTTTTTCGCCAGGATTTCACTGATGTGGCTTTGCGAACTTCAGTCCAGAATCTCCCCAGACGATGTAAGAGTGTACCAGAATGTGCACATCAAGGTATTGATGTTAGGCTGATTGGTCTGTAGGTTCCTGGGTCTGGTTCCCCTCCCCCCCTTTTTTTTGGAGATGGGAACCACATCAGCTGTTTTTCAATGCTCAGGTAGTTCCCCAGGGCTCCAAGATTTTTGAAAGATATGGTACAATGGTTCTGAGATGACATCTGGCAACTCCTTTAAAACTCTGGGATGTAATCCATCAGGTCCTGGTGATTTATATTCATCAAGGTCAGACAGGTGTTCTCTTACCATTTTCTTGCTTATTTTAATTATAATTTCTAATCTGTCTTTTACAATTATGTTTTTGGTAGTTTGAGCTATAATTTTTGTGTGTGTGAAGACTGATCCAAAGAATGAGCTAAGCAAGCTCTGCTTTCTCTCTGCTGCCTGTTACCTCCTTGCTATCTTCTCTCTTTAGTGGACCGACTGTTTCCTTGACTTTTTTCTTGTTATTTATATTTTGAAAGAGACTATTTTAATTATCTTTGACTTTTGTTGCAAGTCTTTGTTTATTCTGAGTATTTGCTTTCCTGACTTCATCTTTGCAGATTTGGGCTATCTGCTGATATTTTGCTTTAGTTATGTGTCCCTCTTTCCATTTTTTGTACTTGTCTTTTTTGTCTATCAGAGAGATCTTTGTGCAACCATGCTGGTTTCCTGTTAGATTTCTTGATTTTCTTTTTCAGTGGCATTGTGCTGGTTTGGGCTTTTATGATCATATTTTTCAGAGTTTTCCAAGCTTCTTGAGTTGTTTCCCATTTAGTATTTTCATCCAAGGACTCTTTCCCAAGCTCTCTGAATTCGTTAAAATCAGCTCTTTTAAAATCTAAGACTCTGGTATGATTATGTTCTATTGCTTGTGTTTGTATTATATTGAATTTCAGTATGACATGGTCACACTCACCCAATTTTCCTGCAGTTTCAACTCCCTCTATCACTTCTTCTCTATTCTTGAGAATTAAATCCAGTATGGCTGTCCCTCTAGTTCCCTTCTCTACCTTTTGGTCAACAAAGTTGTCAGCTAGATTGGTCAGGAACCTGTTTGATTTGTCACTTGATGCAGAATTAATCCTCCAGTTGATGTTGGGTAATTGAAGTCCCCCATTACTATTGTAGTGTGCGTCCTACATGAAACATGGTGAAATGTCCCATCTTCCCGAAAAGGTCCTCCACTACCACCATCAGTATGGTGTTCCCACCACAATCCCTGAGGAAAAGGGAGGTATAATTTTAAAAATAAGATTAGGCAGTGTGTTTATCAGGCAAAGTAGAATAACATTACATCTACATGAGCAATATATGGTCTTCTGGTTGTTGCTAAACTGCAATTTCCATTATTTCTCAACATCGACCATGATGGTAGAATAAATAAACAAGAGATGCAGTTTAGTACCTGCTTATCCCTGTCCTGAAAACAAAACAAAGTCAACGTGATTTCTTGTCAAATACATTTTATTTTGAACAAATAATAGGCTAAAAGTATCCCAGTGTAATAAATGCTAAGCAACATTCTTCATACTTTTTCAATGTATAATGTAAATCTTTGCTTTCACTTTATTTTGGTTCAAGATTTGCCAAGTTTTGTCAGCAAACCTTAATTTGAAGCTATTGCTTGTTTATTATGTAGGATTCAGATTTTTAAAAAGCCTTTTCATGGTTGGTCAGTTATATAATTATGGAATTGTTGCAGTAACAAACAAAAGAATAGCTGTTAGAAGAGAAACCTTATATGAATAGTTATGTTATTTATTCTACATTTCATTTCTACTGAGTAATGTTTTGGTCAGATTACGTGCTTGAGAACATGTTTTTTTAAGCCCTGCAGCCTTAAGCCACTTGATAGCCCTGTGTAAATTGGCTGGAAATGAAGCTGGCTTAAGAAAACCCTTTCTAGGTTTCAATACTTGGCTTCATTTTGGAAGTAGTGATTGCATGGGGTTCTATATTTTCCATTTTCCTAATTGATAGATATCCTGCTTTGTTGAAACTGCACGAAACTTGGGTGTGAGAGACCATGTCATACTGGAATTCAATATATTGCAAGCACCTAAAAAGTAAAGTAATCACTTTATTTTCCATGAACAAGTCTTTAAGAGGATTGGTTGCTATTGATAGTCCTTTCATGTGATCCTCCCTTAGCTAAGTCTTCCTTGAGCCTGATAGGACAGTGTCATGTATTCTTGCTATTATGTAAGGAACAGCAGCCAGATCAATGCTTTGACTAGAAAAATAGTCAGATAATAAAAGTTTTACTGATTTTATAATACCCAGGTTTCAACCCTAATTTTGAGCCATAACTGTATATACTAAAATCAGTCCAAAATCCAAGTAAGCTTATTGTTGTTTTTCATGTATCTGTTTATTAAAATATTGAACAGCATGCTCAGCATGTAAAAAAATGCTATAGTTAGGGAACAAAGAATATAAGTGATCAAATATAGGTTTGCTCCTTAATAACAGTGGCCAGGTCCTGGATAAATATGCTTACAACCATTTGACCTAGGTAGTCAAATATTATTTATGCATGGGACTGCTGTTAAACCAATATAACTTTTTCTAATTTACAACATTGTATATAACAGGTGAGAGTATTTTGGTGTGTAAGCCCTCTGAAAAATCAAAAGGAATTGCTCTTCTCCATGGTGGTATGAAGCCAGTGGGTAGCTGTTTGCTTAGCCTCAAGGGAGAAGGAATCACCTCCAGTATGTTACGGGCAATTCTTGAGGTATGTAATGCCAGGAATGAGTGAAACATTCATAATGTAAATATTATTTGTTAACAAGATTTTGCACTGTTTCTGTGAAGCTGCTAAATGCATTTGTAGGAATTCTAATTGCCTTAAACATAAATTCATGGTGTCAGGGCCCACTTCAATATCTCATCCTAAGAAAGCAGAACTCATGGAAGCAGTTTCTTCCAAAAGGAACTTTTATTAGGAAAAGCTGATAGCAGGCATAATAGACAGGATCTGAGGTTTCCCGCTCAGATCAATAGGTTAAAAGAGTCTCCAGCAAACCCCACCCCAATAGTTCATCCAGTCAGTTCGAACGGACCAATCCTTAGGTGTTAAGTCCGTTGTGGGAAAGAGTTGATAACACCAGTCTTTCCCAGGCTCATAACGATGTTGTTGGGGCTTTGCACCTTTCTTTCCAAAACGGGAGATAAGCCAGATAGCCAGAGGCACATTCCTTTCTCACCCCAAGGTAACATCAAGGGAGAGACAGTTCAAAGAGCAAGTATGCAGAGACAGCAAAAGAGATACATTGTAGTGATAGAGAAAACAAAGAGCCCACAGCGTCTTCCCCCCTCCCCTCTTGGAATATGACAGAACTCAGTGTAATAGAAGAAATAGAATTAGAGAGAGTTTCCCTTAATAATATACAGTATGGATTCTGACACATGGTTAAGATATAGCCCAACAGTCTCAAGATTAGAGAGGTACAAAAAAAATCAAATGTCAATACATTTCTATATGTTCGTTTATCCTAAAGGGAATATTGATTTACAGTTACAGAGATGTATACATGTTTGAAGACATGTCAGTGTTTGAAATGTATGTACTATACACAACTATTCCTGATATGTGCACCGATTTAAAAAGGTAACTTTCAAAAGTAACCTATATTTTTTCAAGTATGTTTATTACCCTTTTATTCTGATAGATCATAGTAAGTGGAGTAGCTAGCTCTTCAGAAGACATCCAGAGTTATGCATCCTGTACACTCCTCGCAGCTAGTTTGAGAGACTTCCAGGACTGTAGGAGAGAGCAGGAGAAAATTTGTGATGGATCTATTGAAACTTGTGTGAAGTGGCTGCTTGAGAAGGAATTCATCATGATTTCAGTAACGGATGTTGGCAAGGGTAAAAATGCTAATTTGTATATGAATTGAGTATTTTTAATTACAATTAAGGAAATGTAGATCAGGAAATATTTGTAGTACTTTATAGTAATTATATTTTCTGATTACAATAAATAAATGGTAATTGAATTTGCAATCGAATACATATTAGATATACATGTTTATCTTCATAAATGTTGGCAATCTAATATAGTAAATAATAGTAAAATAATAGTAAAGTCATAGTAAAGAATGACTCGTGCAGCCCACAAAGGTAGAGAAAAAGAACAACAAAAGGTAGATGTTGGATCTACAACACAAGTGGCTACCTCTGAGCCAGTGGGAGGAACAAGACTGAAGAGGTCATCAACTGCAAACTTAAATGTAGTGTTCCAAAGGCTTCAGGCCACTAAAGATGGCAAAGTTCCTACGTGGAATGTTAATGGTTTGAATTCACCACAGAAAAGAAAGAAAGTATTTCATTATTTGAAACAATATAAGAATGATGTTATATGTTTGCAAGAGACTCATATTGCTTTAAAGGATAAAAAGTATTTGATTAACTCCTGGCTGGGAGTACATTTTACAGCCTCTGCTCTGCAGAAAAAAGGAGTAGTTATTTATGTGAGGAAAGATTTATCACCGAAGTTAATTGACTCTGATCCACAAGGAAGATATGTTATTATTGATTTATTACTAAATGGTAAGAGAACTCTTGTCATTGGATTATCTGCTCCTAATCAGCAACAAAAATGTTTTTATAAGATGTTACATCAGAAATTAATTCAATTGGATTATAAATCAGTAATTATGATGGGAGATTGGAACGGTGTTTTAGATTCAAGTAAAGACAAGAAAGGCTCTTTTAAATCTCCTAATCATGCAAAATTAGCTAAAGTTTTTTTTTTTAATTTGAAGGATGATCTGGAACTTAGAGACATTTGGCGAGAACGGAATACTGAAGAAAGAGACTTTACCTTTTTTTCAGACAGGCAACAATCGTACTCCAGAATTGATTTTTTTTAAATTACTAATGACTTTTTTTTTAGGGTGAAGAATGCCAAGATATTCCCCAGAATATTGTCAGACCATAGCCCCGTATGGTTGGAGTTATTTACTGAAGATGGGAATAGAAGGACTTGGAGACTGAATGAAAATTTATTTAGACATGAGGGGAATATACAGAGATGTAGAGGTTATTTAAAGGATTTTTTTCTTTTGAATATGCATAAGGGTATTTCGATGCCAATGGTATGGGATGCCAGTAAAGCATATATGAGAGGGGTTTTGATTCATATGAATAATGCGCATAGACGCAAACAGATGCAGAAACGTAAAGAGTTGGAGGAAGAGATTAAATGGAAGTAAAAGGCTCTTATATTAAATCCATTGGACAATAGTTTAAAGGTTTCTATAACTTTGCTTAAGGAGCAATTTAATATGTTAATAGCTGATCAGATTGCAATTAATTTGAGGTATATGAAACACAATACATTTTATAATGCAAACAAACCTGGTAGGTGGTTGGCTTACCAACTACGAAAGAAATAGAAATCAAGGATTATAGAAAAAAATAATTATAAAGGTAAAGATGTATAGCAACAAAACTTGATTAAAAGGAGTTTTTTAGATTTTTATTCAAAGTTATATGCTAGTGAAAATATACAAGTTTTGGATATAGAAAAGTATTTACAGGAAGCACAATTTCCTAGACTTACTACTGATCAACGAGATAAGATTAATGGTTTAATCACTTCTGATGAGATTATTTGGGCAATTAAGCAATTATTTATTTATTTATGAGACTTATATACCGCTTTAAGTGCAAGCACTCTCTAAGCAGTGTACACCAGTAAGCAATGTATATATATATTTACATTGCCCCCAACAATCTGGGTCCTCATTTTACCTACCTCGGAAGGATGGAAGGCTGAGTCAACCTTGAGCCGGTGAGATTTGAACCGGTGACCTGCTGAACACAGTCAGCTAAAGTGGCCTGCAGTACTGCACTCTAAGGCTCCAGGTGGATTAATCCACTGATGGATTAACAGCAATTTATTATAAAATGCTATTTGAAGAAATGATAGAACCATTGAAGGAACTTTTTAATAACATTCTGCTGGGAGCAGAAGTACCTCCATCTTGGAGAAGAGCTTTTATATCACTGATTCCAAAGGAGGATCAAGACTTGACTCAGCCCCAAAATTATAGGCCTATATCTCTTTTGAACATAGATTATAAGATTTTTTCAAAAATATTGGCAAATAGATTAATGTGAGATTTGAAGCAATTGATTCATAGTGATCAATCTGGATTTATAACTGGAAGATATATGAAATATAATGTAAGACAAATTGTTAATCTAATTGAGTACTTGGACAAGAACAATCAAATCCCTGCGGTTTTGATATTTTTAGATGCTATAAAAAGCTTTTGATCAATTAGATTGGCAATTTTTATTGAGAGTAGTAGAGGAAATGAATTTTGGGGATAAATTTTTGTATGCTCTTAAGGCTATATATCAGAAACAATCTGCACAAATTATAATTAATGGGGGATTAACAGAAGCATTTAAAATTGAAAAGGGTACAAGATAGGGATGTCCCTTATCCCCATTGTTATTTGTTTTAACAGTGGAGATTTTACTTATTAAAATTCGTGAGTCACCTAGAATAAAGGAAATAAAAATAAATAAGAATGATTATAGGTTGAGAGCTTTTGCTGATGATTTGGTTGTAACATTATCTCAACCGACAGACTCGGTTAGGGATTTGGTTGAAATTTTAATTCAGTATGGGAAGGTTTCTTGGTTTAAGGTAAATAATAATAAGACTAAAATATTATCGAAAAATATGTCTATGAAGGAAAAAGATTGTTGTTGTTAATTGCGAAGTCGTGTCCGACCCATCGCGACCCCATGGACAACGTTCCTCCAGGTCTTCCTGTCCTCTACCATCTTCTGGAGTCCATTTAAATTCATACCTACTGCTTCAGTGACTCCATCCAGCCATCTCATTCTCTGTCGTCCCAGTCTTCTATTGCCCTCAATCTTTCCCAGCATTAGGCCCTTCTCCAGTGAGTCCTTCCTTCTCATTAGGTGGCCAAAGTATTTGAGTTTCAACTTCAGGATCTGGCCTTCTAAAGAGCAGTCGGGGTTGATCTCTTCTAGGACTGACCGGTTTGAACGCCTTGTAGTCCAAGGGACTCGCAGGAGTCTTCTCCAGCACCATAGTTCAAAGGCCTCAATTCTTTGGCGCTCAGCCTTTCTTATGGTCCAACTTTCACAGCCATACATTGCAACTGGGAAAACCATGGCCTGGACTATACGCACTTTTGTTGGCAGGGTGATGTCTCTGCTTTTTAGAATGCTGTCTAGATTTGCCATAGCTTTCCTCCCCAGGAGCAAGCGTCTTTTAATTTCTTGGCTGCAGTCCCCATCTGAGGTGATCTTGGAGCCCAGAAAAATAAAATCTGTCACTACCTCCATTTCTTCCCCATCTATTTGCCAGGAATTGAGAGGGCCGGATGCCATGATTTTGGTTTTCTTAATGTTGAGTTTCAAGCCAACTTTTGCACTCTCCTTCTTCACCCGCATCAAGAGGCTCTTTAGTTCCTCTTCACTTTCTGCCATTAGCGTGGTATCATCTGCATATCTTAGGTTGTTGATATTTCTCCCGGCAATCTTAATTCCAACTTTTGATTCATCTAGCCCTGCCTTTCTCATGATGTGCTCTGCATATAAGTTAAATAGGCAGGGCGACAGTATACAGCCTTGCCGGACTCCTTTTCCAATTTTGAACCAATCAGTGGTTCCGTGTTCCAGTTCTCACTGTTGCTTCTTGACCCGCATATAGGTTTCTCAAGAGACAAATGAGATGGTCTGGTACTCCCATCTCTTTAAGAACTTGCCACAATTTGTTGTGATCCACACAATCAAAGGCTTTAGCATAGTCAATGAAGCAGAAGTAGATGTTTTTCTGGAACTCCCTAGCTTTCTCCATGATCCAGCGTATGTTGGCAATTTGATCTCTAGTTCCTCTGCCTCTTCGAAATCCTGCCTGTACTTCTGGTAGTTCTCGATCCACATACTGCTGGAGTCTAGCTTGTAGGATTTTAAGCATAACTTTACTAGCATGTGAAATGAGTGCAATGGTGCGATAGTTTGAACATTCTTTGGCATTGCCTTTCTTTGGAATTGGAATGTAAACTGACCTTTTCCAACCCTGTGGCCACTGTTGAGTTTTCCAAATTTGCTGGCAAATTGAGTGTAGCACTTTTACTGCATCGTCTTTTAAGATTTTGAATAGCTCAGCTGGAATACTGTCACCTCCACTAGCTTTGTTGTTGCTCAGATTTTCTAAGGCCCATTTCACTTCACATTCTAGGATGTCTGGTTCGAGGTCAATGACCATCTCATTGTGGTTATCTGGGATGTTAAGCTCATTCTTGTATAGTTCTTCTGTGTAGTTTTGCCATCTCTTCTTAATCTCTTCTGCCTCTGTTAGGTCTCTGCCATTTTGGTCCTTTATCATGCCCATCTTTGCATGAAACGTTCCCTTCATATCTCCAATTTTCTTGAAGAGATCTCTGGTCCTCCCTATTCTGTTGTTTTCTTCTATTTCTTTGCACTGTTCATTTAAGAAGGCATTCTTATCTCTTCTAGCTACTCTCTGGAATTCTGCATTCAATTGGGTGTATCTTTCTCTTTCTCCTTTGCCTTTCGCTTCCCTTCTTTCCTCAGCTATTTGCAAAGCTTCCTCAGACAGCCATTTTGCTTTCTTGCATTTCTTTTTCTTTGGGATGGTTTTAGTTGCTACCTCTTGTACAATGTTGCGAACTTCCATCCATAGTTCTTCAGGCACTCTGTCTATCAGATCCAGTTCCTTAAATCTATTTGTCACCTCTACTGTATATTCATCAGGAATATGATTTAGTTCATACCTGAGTGGCCTAGTGCTTTTCCCTACTTTTTTCAATTTAAGCCTAAATTTTGCAACGAGAAGCTCATGATCTGAGCCACAG